CAACAGACCAGGAGAACAATTCCGACGAGTGGGGCGAGTTCCTGCACATTCCTGGCCAGAAGTTCCACGACTTCAGCAAGATACGGGACGAGATTGTAAGGGAGACGGAGTCCAAGACTGGTCGAAATGCTGGTATCTCGCCCGCACCCATCAACTTGAGGATATACTCGCCAAACGTCCTCACGCTCACGCTGGTTGACTTGCCCGGTCTAACAAAGGTGCCTGTTGGAGATCAGCCAAGGGATATCGAACGTCAGATCCGAGAGATGGTTCTCAAGCAGATCAGCAAGCCCAATGCCATCATTCTCGCTGTCACCGCTGCGAACACCGATTTGGCCAACTCTGACGGTCTGAAGCTGGCTCGTGAAGTAGACCCTGAGGGACAACGAACCATTGGTGTGTTGACCAAGGTAGATCTGATGGACGAAGGAACCGACGTCGTAGACATTCTCGCCGGTCGCATTATCCCATTGCGGTTGGGCTATGTACCAGTTGTCAACCGAGGACAGAGGGACATCGAGAACAAAAAGGCCATCTCATACGCGCTCGAGCACGAGAGGCAATATTTCGAGAACCACAAGGCATACCGCAACAAGGCAGCATACTGCGGTACACCTTACTTGGCACGGAAGCTGAATTTGGTAGGTTCAAGCTCTTGTGTACTTGGGCAGTCAACAGCTAACAGCTACAGATCCTTATGATGCACATCAAACAAACTCTTCCCGATATCAAAGCTCGCATCGCTTCGTCGCTACAAAAATATCAGGCAGAACTTTCTTCGCTGGGCAACTCCATGCTCGGCAACAGCTCCAACATTGTCCTAAACATGATTACAGAATTCACCAACGAATACCGGGGAGTGCTAGAGGGCAACAACCAAGAGCTTTCCGCAGTTGAACTTTCAGGTGGAGCCCGTATCTCTTTCGTCTACCACGAATTGTACGCCAACGGTGTAAAGGCCGTTGATCCCTTCGATCAGGTCAAAGACATGGACATCCGGACCGTTCTCTACAACTCGTCTGGTTCATCCCCCGCGCTGTTCGTTGGTACTACTGCTTTCGAACTCATTGTGAAGCAGCAAATCAAGCGACTAGAAGAACCTAGCTTGAAGTGTGTCAGTCTCGTCTATGATGAGTTGATAAGGATTCTCAGCCAACTTCTCAACAAAAACGCTTTCCGCAGATACCCAGGATTGAAAGAGAAGCTGCACCAGGTCGTTGTTAGCTTCTTTAAGAAGGCCATGGAGCCCACCAACAAGCTCGTAAAGGATCTTGTCGCTATGGAGTCGGTCTACATCAACACTGGTCACCCTGACTTCATCAACGGTTCGCGTGCTATGGCGATTGTACACGAGCGACACAATAGCAGTAGGCCTCAGCAAGTAGACCCCAAGACTGGAAAGCCACTCCCACCTAGTGTCCCGCCGCGGTCGATATCTCCATCGCTCGATCCTAATGAGGGCGGTGGCTTCTTTGGATCATTCTTCGCTAGCAAGAACAAGAAGAAGATGGCAGCTATGGAGCCTCCGCCCCCTACACTGAAGGCTTCAGGCACCCTTTCCGAAAAGGAGTCGCAAGAAGTTGAAGTTATCAGTAAGGCTCCCCTGGCGACGATTTTGTACATGACTAACGATATCCAGAACTACTGATCACCTCATACTTCAACATTGTCCGTCGAACAATGATCGATATGGTACCCAAGGCCATTATGCTGAACCTTGTCCAGTGGACCAAGGAGAACATGCAAGGCGAGCTTCTCACCAACATGTACAAGACAGACGAGCTCGACGAGCTACTGAAGGAGTCAGAGTACACTGTCAAGAGGCGGAAGGACTGCCAGCAGATGGTGGAGAGCTTGTCTAAGGCGCAAGAGATTGTGAATCAAGTGCAGTAGATGGGCGCATATCTGGGACGGTCTTGCTGCTAGACTTGTGTGTTCTCCGGATTTGGCATTCTACCATGGTATGCAAGGTGTTTTGGGTGCTAGCTTGTTATGTTCCTGTCTTGAGCTTGCTCATAGTGTAGTCACCTATGCGATGATGCAGGCAAAATATATATGTCGTAATCACTGTGCTCTATGTGGGATGCATGATGGTGTTCCTACCGTGTGGCTGTTGGGCGGCGTGCGGAGAACGCACAGGCCACCGAGCATCTCGAAAAGTCGCAATGGACTGAGATGCACGCCTCTTCAGCACCAGAGCGGCCATGCTGCTCCCACGAATATTTGCGCCTGTCCGCGCATCGTTAGCGACATCGACGACGTTCATCGCCCCATCTACCCGTGTTCTCGATGCCCTCCGCGTAGCCAATGGCGCCTCGGCCCCTACCCCGGTCCTCTCCTTCGTAAGACATTCAGCGCATCAGGCCCAAGGACGAGCCAACGGAGCAAAAGATGGGCCTGGAAAACGGTTAGGAGCCAAGAAGAGTGGAGGTGTGTCTCGTCAACTAGGCGTTTTGTCAGACAGGCATGGCTAACTGCAATGCAGGAGAGTATGTTATCCCAGGAAACATCATCTTCCGCCAACGAGGCACAGCGTGGTTTCCCGGCGAGAACTGCAAATTCGGTCGCGATCACTGCATCTTCGCTACAGAGTCTGGTTATGTCCGGTACTACCGTGACCCAAGGAAACACCCAAAGAGACAGTACATTGGTGTCGCCCTTGAGAAAGACCACACCCTTCCATATCCACCAAACGCGGCAAGGCGGAGACGACTAAACATGCTCGCTGTTCCCATCACATCACCCACAAACCCCTCTGCTGATGCAGTCGTTGTAACCGATCTACAAGTTGGCGACGGCACAGGCAGCCCAAGCAGCGTCCGCGATACCCCGCGCGAAGCGACAAGGAAGGGATTGACCTTGACCAAGGGCAAGGGATACGCGTACCGCGAGGCCAACTGGCAGATTGGACGTGCGGCAGAGAGAGCGGGTGTACAGGTCAAGGAGTTTGTGCCTGGCGACCGATGGACAGCGTGGCGGAAGAGGAGCACAAGGATCAAGGCTAACATGGAGAGGAAGAGACTCAGGAATGCGGGCAAGAAGACTAGCAAGCCCAAGGCGAGGAAGGCGAGAGCGTAGAGTAGTGAGACGACATACTTTGGCTTGTATGAATACATGTGTATACTGAAGACATGAAGCCTGTTTTGGCCCTGTACCAACCTGAGAAGCAATAGAGTGAGCAGATTATCAGGAAGAAAGTGTTTAGCACGGCTATAACCTTGCAGAATCCTTCCAGACCAATCCTCCTTGGTCTTCGATATAATGCCTCCCCTTTGTCCATCCCATCCATGTGCTTAACGTATCTTCACCCCCATGGCCAGGCCTCAAGCCCTTCTCGCTCCACCCACTGCCGTCCAATCCTATACCCTGACCCTCTGCAGCCGATCGTCCATCATCACCGTCCTTGATCGCATATCCAGGGGTAGACTTCAAGGTTACAGCCGGCCGTTGATCGAAACCTTGGGTCTCGAGCTCACCCTGTGTAAGCACAGGAGTGCAACATGCATCCGTACCGTCAAATATAGCCTCCCACTCCTCGCGCGTCTTCTTCTTGAATTCTAATGTGAAGAAGTCTTTGAGTTTTGGCCAATCTGCCTTGTCATCTCTATTCCCAGGTAGATCCGACGGCTCAAGGCCCATACCCTTGAGCAACGCGGCGTAGAACTGTGGTTCGATCGCGCCTACTGCCATGTACTTCCCGTCCTTGGTCTCGTATGTATCGTAAAACGGCGCTCCACCATCGAGCATATTTGTTCCCCTCTCCCTTTTCCAGACCTCCGTTTTTAGTCCTAATCGTGGCATAGTCGCCAATATGGCACTCCCATCCACCATGTTTGCCTCGACGATTTGTCCAAATCCGCTCCTTTCCCTCGCCAGCAGTGCCAGCACTATACCCATGAAACACATGGCGCCGCCTCCCGCAAAATCTCCAACTACATTGCCTGGTGCATACGGCCTCTCCCCTTTGCGCCCAAACATACTCAACACGCCCGAAACAGCAATGTAGTTGATGTCGTGCCCAGCCATTTGACTGTATTTTCCGTCTCGACGGAAGCCGGTCATGCGCGCCACGATTAACCGCTTATTCAACTTCAACAGCACTTTGTCGGGGTCGAGACCGGCCTTCTCCAACACGCCGGGTCGGAAGGGATCGATTACAACGTCGACATTCGCGACAATCTTCTTGATTAGCGCGAGGCCCGCAGGAGACTTGAGGTTTACGCATATCGAAGTTTTGCGGCGCGTTAGTTGGTCGGTGGACGGGGTTGCAGGTGCGCGGTCGAGGCGGAGGACTGTTGCGCCATAGTCTGCTAGGAGCATGCCGGCGAAGGGCCCTGAATGCTATTAGACGCTACTCTTACAGCTTTATCTGGGCAAACAAGCTTAGGGTTACCTGGAGCGAGTCCTGCGAATTCGAGGACGCGGATGTCCGCCAGCGGGGGCGGTTGATGTGCTGTTGTCATGGTGAAGTCGCTGTTGGGTACGACGTGCTACTTGGGACGATTGAAGTGATGCAAGTCAAAAGAGATTGACGCGAATCTGGTGGTACACATGCTCGACGTCGACATAGTTAGTTGTTGCGGCGGCCGGCTAAGGACGTCCGCGGGGAAGCCGAGGTGCGGATATCGCGAGCTGGAAAGCTGGGGTAGCTTCCTCGTCCGCCTTCGCGTTTGATTTGTTTGTTTGCATCCACACGCACTCGTATACCGACCATCGTTAAACACTCCTCTCACTTTAGGTCTATCGACTTGAGGCTGATGTAGTCTGGCATGCCAAATAATGTGTATTTGCCCAGGCACGATGTGCGTTTCCCCACTTTTCTACGACTGGTAGCATTAGGCATCAGCGCCTATCTGTCTGCCAGAGCGATCTGACAACAATCCAAAAGCGTCGTATAGGTAACTGTTGCTACTTTGGAGTCATAGCTCTTTGATCAACCGCTCGATAACAGACGTGGCTTCCTTCTATGATCGCGACCACCCGCTGTCCCCAACCACATCATGCCTCCTCAGTTAAGACAGCGCACATCGCGCATCAAACCTGAATCTTATGCTCTTGCTTCAAACCCCTCTTCAAGTCAAACTCGCCTCCTCATGTCTGAACATACAGAAAGTTTAGTAAACTGCACACCTCCAATCTACACCATCGATCTCTCACTACCACCACGTGAGCGCTATGTGTTAGTCGCCACTGACTACGCCCATGCTCTGCGTCAGATGCCAGTTCTCTACGACGAAGCAGTAGAGCATTTGAAGCTTCCTATTGGGTTCTTCCATCTCTTAGGCCGTATGCTCTTGCGTCGTCTTCATAGCGATGAACAGACCGAGGAACTCAGAGGAATCAGTCAGGCATGTGGGATTCCCATGTATTTACTCGTCGCTTACAACGTCTTCCTGGACCTTCTTATGGGCTGCACAAGCGGTGGCGTCATGGTCAAGGAGCCTAGAGTCGAGCCAACGATGATGCATTTCCGAACGTTGGATTGGTCCATGCCTCTTTTACGGCAGGTCATCGTACAGTTTGAGTACGTTAGCAGAACAGGTGGCGACGTGATAGCAAGGACTGTGGGCTATGTGGGGTTTGTGGGTGTACTTACAGGCGTAAGGAATGGACTGAGCATGTCACTCAACTTCCGGCCCTACCACAATACCCACGGACTGTCGGGGCCAAACATCAGATATTACTGGAATACTCTGATGGTGCTTCTGGGACGGAAGCCGAGTATCTCCAACCTGTTACGCGATTGTCTCCTACCTAGACTAGGCGCACCTCGAAGACGACAAAGGCTTTCCAAAAGGTCTGCCCAGGAAGAGGAAACACTGACATCCACAACCATTTCACCATACGATGCACCCGAACTATTCAACATCATCCCTCACATGCATACGTCAGTAGCATACCTGATATTCTGCACGGGGGCAGAAACAGTGGTTCTAGAGAAAGACTTTGAAAGTGCGAGAACTTTACGCTCTTCGACTTTCATCAGCACCACCAATCATGATGCGTCATTGGAGGCTACAGACAACCCACAAGCCATTCAGAATCATGCCGTTCATAATCAGGGTCGGAATCACAACTTCCTTAATGCGGGTATGCAAGAAGTGCTTGACGAAAGCATCGCGCGGAAACAGTGTCTGAAGCAGAAGTGGCTGGATTGGAGCCAGGAGCAAGATCGTAAAACGAGGCGAGGACAAACTGCAGCGAAAGGCATTAGCCCGGAGAAGCTAACCGAGTGGCTAATGCAATACCCCGTTTGCAATGAGGTTACACATTTCGTGTGTGTGATGGATCCAAAAGAGGGTGTATTCAGATGGGTGCGGGCTTTTGAGGAGGGCGAGATAGAGTTCCTGGATGAAGCTTAGTATTGATTAGTAGACTTGCCACCACAACCTCATGTTTGGCATTCCGAGATCTTTTATAATATGAAGTTTCGGAAGGACAGTTGTTGGTGTTCGCGTTGGTAACAATATCTTCGAAGGCCTCGGCCCAGGAGAACTAAAGCGGGAGCTAACGTTAGTGTGCAGTTTGCCACCCGTTACTCTCGATCCTCGACAATTTACGGAACAGCTTCCGATTCCCATACATCACCCTCTCCCGCGACACACTATGCCATAGATGACGATGGCGATTCAGAGGTGTCTTTAGCAGAGTATCAACGAAGATGTTTGACACGCCCAGATGGCGACACACAAGAGATCGAGGACTGGTTGTTGGACATGTAGGGAAGCTGGCTACAAGTGCGACGAGCTGAAACCTTTTTGTGGACGTTGCACAAGACTGAGGATAACTTGCAAAGGCTACGGGATCAAGCTGAAATGGCAAGACGACGGCGTCAGCACATTGGCAAAACCACCACGGAAGGGTCGGAAGAAGAAGACCATTGATCAGGTCCAAGCGCCCAGCCCGACATCGATCGTCAGCTTTGCATCAACACCGATGGCACTGTCAAGTCCTGAGTTTGTCTTCTCATCGCCTGAATCGACAAACACCATGCCTACATTGCCGCTGAACAGTCCTGGTTTGTCGTACGGCTTGTCCCTAGATGATCGATGGCTCCTTAATTACTGGGTTGAGCAGCTCTCCACGTTGATATCGGTAGCACCTAGACATGGCGTTGCAACACCATTTCAGCGACACTTGACAGCTATGGCTTACGAGTCTCCGGCGCTTAGATCAACGATTCTTTCAATGGCCGCAAATCACCTCGCATTAACCTCAAATAATGCTTCGCTACACCTACAAGGCTACCGTTTCCAGCGCAACGCCATTCGCGAGCTTCAGCAGATGATTCAAGATCCAGTAGAGATAGATGCTGAGCCGGCGCTAGCCACTGTTATGATGATGCAGGTATCAGCACGATTATTTGGCGATGACGATGAAGCTCACGTTGCAAATCATCTGATCGGTGCTAAAGCTATGATATCGAGACATGAAGGAGATGGCTGGCTTGCTTCGTCGAATGCCCGATTCCTCATGAGTCTTTTCGCATATCATGATATACTCTCATCTGTTTCGAGGGGTTCACAGCCATTGTTGGATCACAAAACGGGCTTTACCGCCGTCGAAGGAGAACAACAGCTAGAAAGCATTGCAAATGTGCTTTTGGTGGTTGCACAGATCAGTCAGCTACAGCACGCTATAAAGATGAGAAAGGCAGAATCACCAACATGCCCGGCTTTGTCGGAAGATGAGAACACTACCGGCCGGCGAATCCAGCAAACATTGCTAGCTATGGACTTCGTTGCATGTAAGCAGGAGGAAACCCAAGAAAATACTGATATCAGCTCGACAGCTGAAGCCTACCGCCATGCCGCTTTCATATATTTGTATCGGACCTGGCTTGATATAGGTGCTCCCAACCCGATAAGCATGGAGCACATCAACCAGTGTCTATCACAACTACAACAAGTCGATGCACATTCACCTCTTACATCATCACACATCTGGCCGCTTTTCACCGCTGGCTGCGAGGCGATTGATAGCACTCAGAGGCATTTTGTTCGTGTTCGATTCGAAGAGATGTATGCTGTAAAGCGCTTTCCGAGCCTGAAACGAGTCATGCGTGATATTGAGCATGTTTGGGAGGCCAAAGATACGGAACAGCAGACGAAAGGTCAAGCGGGTATGGCCAAGGTTGATTGTATACAAGTCATCCTGAAAAGAAGGGGGAGAGAAGTGGAGCTTGCCTGAAGAAGGCGTGTAACGATTGTCAATTTGGATGCACTTAGGCGAGCGTCACTTACCTTCTAAGCAGCCTGCAAGGAAAGCACTATTTCAGTCGCGTTATGTGATACCAAACTCGTACTTGATAGCTATGCCATGTCCGTTTTTCAACGTGCAAATCCAATCACACTCGCCTAGCCACGATGCCAGCCCCGACTCCAACCTCCGACTCCAAGGCTCTAACCGCAGAGCTCTTGGGCAACGTCCTCAGCTATGTCTCCAATATCCTTGAACGCGAGATTGAAGAGTCTGAGACTGGGTTTGGTGGCTACCTTCTCGAGTTTAATTCTATAAAAAGAATGAAATGTATCGTACTCCTTCAAAAGGGCAGGTGTGTGTGTGACTACTGCAGAAGCTATACGTTACAGACTCTCTTCAATCAAATGTATCCCACTACAACACACTCAGTAAACAAACGGGGAGCACGAGCTCGTTTATACACGTAGGCAAAAGTCTTGAACCTCGACCCTTCTCTGTTCATACTTTTATATCCGTGTATCTCTTTCAGACCGATCTGCGGCTCCCAAGTGAATTCAAAATCCTTATGCGCTAGATCACGACGCAGCTCGCAAACAAGTCGAAGAAATAGACCGATGGCCTATATACTTGTATGAGATGACTGAGACGAATCTCCTTTCAATGTTAGGATCGTATATCATGGTAGGCGCGCGACGACAACACGATGTACAACTCATCTGCCTGGACGCGGAACGCAACTGCAGTACGCTCCTAAGTCAATCGAGAGATGTAAGCACCTGGACGGACACGCAATTGTAAAAGCGCAAAATTACGATTGAACTTTTGCTGCTCCCGTCGCTTGAATGCTATCATCAGCATGGTGGGTCAGCCAGCATTGCAAAATCTCGCTCTTAAGGCTATTCGCTGAAAAACTATGGTGATTGTGGTTGATGGGGCATGTACCGCTCCTATGACACCGCCTGCGCAACCGAAAAAATGCGCAGCCAGCTCTAATGGAGCACTTGGTTCCTTCTCCGCAGCGCTATATCGCAATCACCCAATAGGTAAACTCGGTTCGCATCGATACAAGACGTAAAGATGCGGATGAGATAGGTGTTTGAACTGTCTGATGGTGCGTAAGGAAACAGAAAAGAAGCACGGCAAATTTTCGATGTTATCATGATATTGCTTGGCGCGCTACTCTGCATAGGTGTTAGCGTCAACCCTCCAAATGGGTCCACTTGAGGCCCCTCCCCAGCCACCTGATGTAGATTCAGCCACCTCTAGATACGGATTCAGCAGGCTCAGGTGTTCTTTATGACTTGCCCCACCATTGCAACCATCGACGGTCTATGGCGAAGGAAGCGACAGAGCTATGTACACGCAAGACCTCCAGCTGCCTGACAAACATGGACACGCAACCAGCCGTACCCCCCAGGGATGCGAGCATTGAGTACATCAGCGACAACATCTTTCAATTGACACTGACGACAGAAAATAAGGACGAGATCTTCGCTCACGGTCTCTCCAAGCTTGATGAGAGTGCAGAAGAAGCCGACTTGATTCTTCGAAACCTGACAGCATGGTGCCCGGATATCGCCGCTCAGTTCTCCAAACGTTCGTCAACAACAATCTTGGATACCCCGTTTCGCCTGATCTTCCCGGCTGATGCTCGAGAATCATTCGACAACGGCCTGTATGTGCGCCAATATGTAGCGATCTCTTACTGCTGGCACTCAGCAGATTATCCGTATCCAGGCTGTGAACCGTACGATTGCTGGCCATTTAGCAAACCCTTCGTAGATGCGATTCTGAGCGACAAGGACCATCCTCGCGAGGGGATATGGATTGATCAGCTCTGTATCGACCAGGAGGATAGTCTCGATAAACAGAAATCGGTTGCTGCCATGGACGTAATTTACCGATCGTGTATCCGGTTGTTGGTTCTGCTGGAAGATGTAACGTTGGACGAGGCAGAAACGCGACTTGTGAAGGATTGCACCGGTATTGCAATGCGATACAAAAGATCTTGGGTACCTGAACCTGATGTCAGGCACCTTTATGTGTCTGTATGGCGTAAGGTGGAGAAAGCGCGATGGGTACGTGTATATATTAGAGATGTATCTTGGACGTACACTGACTTTGCGCCCACCTCATGTAGTGGGACCGAGCCTGGTGCTATCATGAGTTCTGTTTAAACGAACCTCAGAGTGTTATGAGGCATCTTGATGTCCACGAAGCGACCTTTGTCATGAATGGTCCTGATGGCTCCACTGTGAAGGTGAAATGGCTAGACCTCCGCCTTATTTTGTCCATGGGGGTGGAATTTTTATATGCTGAGCAGGGCTTCGACCTGACCCACGCCAAGACCAGTGTGATTCTTACAGGATATGTTACTAGTGGTGAAGATCCGACAACACGCAATGGAGAGGTGTCGAGGCCAAGCATCATGGCTCGTCACAATGGCGTTGCACAGAAAGGATGCCAATATTTCGAAGACCGTGTCAGTAACATCTCTGTAGAATCTCGCGTGAGACAACTACTGACTTTGTACACCGATCTTTAGGTCAGTATCATGTTGAACATTAGTGGGCTTGCTTTAGCTTATAATGGCGATGGTTCGTCCGATAAAGAGAAGATTCTGTATGTCAGCGCACTCTTAGCTCTTGCAGCAGGAGAGGCACACCCACTCAGTATGATGGACAGCAAATCGATCAAGCTCGACGGCAACACAACGTGGTTATCACCAAGTATTGCTGCTCAGGATACCACAATTCCAAATTATATCCTCGGAAGCGTGCAGGGCATCCGACATATCTCTACGGAGTTCATCGAGCTCGACATGATCTTTCTCAGGGCGCCTTGGGGATTGAGACAGCAAGATGCACAATTGGAAACTGCTAATCGGGTTTTTCCCGAAATGATAGAAACCACGGAGCCACTGAGGCACACTCCAGACGGAGTCATTGTGAGCCCACTCACAGTACGGCCAGACAGCGAGTACGATGAGCGCCGACGAAAGTTCATCGCCATATGTATCGAAAATGGCCTTGAATTCACCGCTGCCCTGTGGGAGCAGCTCAAGCGTGATGTCGTGCATCCCAACTATAACCAAGGCGGACACCAAGATTTTCAGCCGAACGCAGCGCTGAGTGTATCAGCTCAGAAATTTTTGGAACAACTACATCGGAATGCAAATGCAGAAATAGTGGAAAGGATTGCGTTCGATGTAGAAGACGCTAAACTCTTCCTGACGTGGGTAACCGATCCTCGTTCGATGTATTACATTGGCTATCTAACGGTTCGCTTGCAATGCACGATCGATGGCCGTCATGCTCTTATGACTAGCACGCACATCAACGAACATTGGGAAGGCGCTGTGTTTGAGGAGCTCCAAGCCGCAATCCCTGTGGATCTGCTTGGTGTGAGTTGTATACCGCTAAGGATATGGATATTGCAACCATTGGAGATCAAGGAAGACAAGGTGGTGAGCTGGAGAATCGTAGCTAAGGCGCTACTGCTTGGTGAACCTGATCTGATGGAGGAAGTAAGACTCAATGGAAATCGAGACGACGCAGTCGTGAAATTGGAAATGGGAGTACGCGTTGGCGCCTAGAGATCTCCAGGCGCTGCTGGCGCTGCTGAATAAGGTCACAGCGCACAATGCAGGGATTGGTGTCGCTGCTTTGAGGCTCATGGACAGCATGGGAACAATTTGCAACACCATATTTACAAGTAGTTTGCCGCAACCTATCACAAAATAGGTTGTGCTGTTCATCGATGACTCGGTCACAACATTAGTCATACCAACTGCATCAAGGCAAACGGACGAGCATGGCTGCCCAGCTCTCGTTGCTTATTCACCAGCTTGACAGGTAAACTCAATTACTAATTCACACACCCCCCCCCCCCGGAAGCGCATCAGTCGCTGATCCGAACTGTAACGTCCATCATTGTTCTGTTTGACACCGAGTTCTGTATTCGCTTCGACGGGGTTCGACTTCGTGTTGCCAGTCTTTGAGTGGCCTGTTCGCTTGTCGCCGCCTTGGATATGACGCCCCTCTTGTGCGATTGCCCTGCAGGCCGTCGGCATGACCTTCAGCTCTACTACACTCTCGCCCAGTGCCGTCTCTATCATGGCGCTAGATTTGTACTGTCGATGACATAAGGTTGTCGCCGCGCTCGTTTGTGTCCAGTATATAAATAAAAGTACAGAGTCGTCTGGAGACGCACTGCCATCGCGACCCTCAATTCTCCGCCATGGATCGCTCCACCAAACCAAGTTTCAACTTTGTGAACCTCACACATCCGGACGATTTAAAGAATGAAGAAACCCAACTTCGCATCCGACGTTTGGCTATGACTGAGGTCGGCAAAGCCAGGAGGAAACCCAAAGCGAAGAGGGCACGCAACGAGATCATCCTTGAATTCCGAAATCCATTCGAAAGTCGCGTAGACATTGATCGGTTTGGTGGCGGTCAGCTTGACCCATTCAATCCTTATCCAATCGAACTGAATGACTCCGATCGAGCGTTGCTAGCGAACGGTAGGCGCATTTCCCCGTTGTGGCCAGACTCTTTCCTGACTTGATGTAGTATTCAGTACTGAGGACAACAATCATCCTAGTCAGCTTCGCGGCTCATGGTACCCCGTTGGACTGAGCGATGCAGCTGCTTTCTACAACATGCTGTCAAATTCCCAGAACTTCTTATTCCAGAAACGCAACGGATACTATCCCTCCCAAGACGATGCCATAGCGCTAAGATATCATAACAAAGCGCTTGGTCATACCGCCCAGATGATGAATGATCCTAGCAAGCGTCTAAGTGACGAGGTCATAGGTGCCGTGGTATCTTTCATGATCCACTTTGTGGGTAATATGTATTACAATGACAGTGGCGAGGCTGACATCTCCCAGGCTCTGATGGGAAACTTCACTGGCGATGACTGGCATAAACACAGTAGCGCATTAGTCAGAATAGTGGAACTCCGTGGCGGCTACGATGCCATCGCGAAAGAGTACTTGCGAATCACAATCAGTTGGTAGGTCTGAACGGAGTACAATTGAGCTGGAATACCCACTGACATGCGAGTAGGGCAGATCTTATAGGAAACTTCTATCAAGACCACTCGCCAATTGTTCCTATGCCACCACAGTGGATAGCAGACTCCAAATCTCCACCGAATTCTCCACGACCTTGTAGTGCTGTATCCCTTGCATGGAAACAAGTACTACCCATGCAGCTCGACTTTATCACAATCTTCGATGATGTAGTACAACTGATCTCTCTTGATCGAGCTTTCAACGAACAGCAGCTGATGCTAGCGATCACGAGCGGTAGTTGGATGGAACCAACCATATACCGCCTGTTGGCTATTCGGCCTCTAAATCACGGCGATGACAGAGAGATAGTCATCGAAGAAGTGTGTAGACTTGGAACATTACTCTTTCTGGCACCGCTCTGGAGAAATTTTGGTCAATCGCCCGTATGGACAGCCGCCATATCTCGCAATCTCCTACTTGTACTCACGAAGAACATGATCGAATGGAACGACTTGAAGCCTTTTTTAATTTGGGTGCTGTACTCTGCTGCCGTCGAGACCAAAGACCTTGCAGAACGAAGCCAATTTGTGTTCATGCTTGGAATTCTGATGAGTGGTATGCAGCTACATGAGTGGGACGATATCATGTTAATTGTTAAGAGTGTATTATGGGTAGAGAAGGTCTTTGCAGGCACAGATGAGTTGATTCGCGACGAAGTTATGCAGATCGTGAACCATAATCCTATGAACATCTTGCTGGCTGAAACTACGCCGCCAAGTTTCTTGGGAGACTTCGCGACTGAGACAGGTCAGGACTAGACTAAATTTGGAAAGAGGATATCCCTGTATTGCAGAAGCAAACGGCAGCACTTTGACTTTCGTACTTAGTTCCAATTTCTTATCGTTCCACTTCATGTGAACAAGCTGTGGCGGAGCATCTACGAGACACTCTAGTCGTCTACAGCACCGATTAACCTAAGACCTTGTATGTGCTATCTACTGGTATTTAACGGCCTTTCGGCTTCTCCAACGACCAGTGCAGCACTCACTGCGCTCACTGTGCATGCTTACCGTCGTATCAAGAGAAATAACATCCTTTGTCGTGATTAATTCGATACTCGCTATCAATCTGGATCTGACAAGCGATCTGAAGCTGGGTTATGCGTAGTGGCTGAAAAGCACACTGTACTTAACAGGTCCTTCTCTGCTGGCAACTTGCCCAATCTCAACATTCCGCATCCCATCACATTTCCGAAAGCAGCAAAAATGCTTCATGACTTGGTTTAAACCCCGTTATAACGTCTCATCATGTGCTAATCCTTCAGAAACTGTTCTTCATCTTCCTACTCCTTACTTTTCTCCTCACTCTCCGCCACGATATCTGATAATCCGCTTCTATGACTCGTCTTCCTCTTACCCAGTGGAGAGAACGATCCTATCATATCCGTATGACTATTTTGTGCGGGGCGCAAGGAGCAGCCGAAGATTTATTTGGAGTTCTAGGCACTAACTTAGGTATCGACTTAGGTACTGGAGAACTGTACCAGAATCTTGCAGAAACACGACACCCGAATGCGTGAAGTCGCTAATATCTAGCTTAGCCGGAGGCACCTAATGCCTTGCACAAAAGGAGAACGCAGGTGATTAAGAGCTGAACCACTTCCAAAGTTGCGGACAAACCATACACGAAAAGCGTGAAGAACAGCTCATGATAATTGGCATGGCCGCGCAGTTACCCCTCTATAGCTGTGCACGCCGTAGCAACTAGCGAGTGAATCCTCAATGAGGATAGAGCGCGAATGACAATTCCATCAAGTTTCGTTGCATTATATTGCATTATCATTTTCTTCTGATTCTAGAGCTGCTTTTGCTTCCCGATATGATCTAAGACCTTGGTGCCCTGCCATTATAATCCTGTCCAGGAGCGGCTGTATAGTTTGCAAAACAATCATAATCAAAGTCGATCTCAGCACTGCGTTTCTGCAAAACTTCGACTACATTGTCGAACGAACAGAGACCGTTGGGATTAGCTGGGCAGCCCGGGTATGATTCGTCGATTGGAACGACAGCGTCATTGCTGAGCACTACCGTCAGTTGCGCATCAAACTCGAAGAGGAAGGAAGATACGTACACAATAAAGCGGATCTGCTTAGATGGTTGCATAGCTGGGCAAGAAAGCACTTGTGTAGTAAAATGCGTCGCGAATGGTACCAGTTTGCTGGCTACAAAACTGTTTTGGCCTTGATTGCCTTGAGGATTTAATGGTGGACCTTTGAACAGAGCTGTCAGGTTGAAAGCGGTGAGCGTATCAAGGACTACCACTTCGTGGGTGGCGTCTGCGTAGATGGACTGGTTAAGCGGAAAGTATGTTGAGGAGTTGTCGAATGTCTCATTCAATGCCGAGTTGGGCCCAGGATATTGATGAGTGAAGCGCGCGATAAACTCGTCAAGAAAGCCTTTGCCTTGCGCTGCCGAGACAGGTGAACCAGGGCCGTTGTTGTAATAGAACGAGAGGTCAAAATAGTACTCGTAATTCAAGAAGTCTTCTTCGTTAAACAGATTGCAGAAAGCGGAGTAGCCGAGAGCGTGTGTCTCGTATGAGCAAAGCTGAAGCATAGCGATGGCATCAGTGGAGGTAAAGTTAATGCCGCTAGCCTGCGACTGGAGACGAGCGATAGTGGCATTGAAAGCGTTGTTCGCGAATTGTGCCGCGACACGGCTGCCGATGCTTCCTCGTGTGGCAATGTTCGAGTTGTTGCAGATTTCGTAGGGTGCACCAGAGTTGTTGACACCTTGAGTCTCGACGAGCAATTCAATGCTGACTTCGTCCATGTACTCAGGCACGCCAAAGAAGCCGGCAGCGAAGTTCTCCGCAGTCTTCACCATACGATCTTGAGACTGTGTTCGGAAGACCGGGATAGTACCAGCTTCTGTGAAGTTGTTGAGCAAATGACCATACAACTCACGGTACTCGACACCTAGTAGGAAGTTCATGCTGCGGCCAGATGGCGTGAGAAGCTCTGCGCCCAACTTGTACGTCCAGTCGCTTAGGAAGGAAAGCTCTCCAGAGACAGCAAGGCCAGTCTTCGTAGCATTCGCAATCTTTTGGGCAAAGGTCGCAGGCGCTGCACCACTAGTTGGGTACCGAGCGCCATGACGGTAAAGAAGATGCATTTGCGTGATGTCGCAACCATCAGGAATCAGAGGACTAGCATCAGGAAGACCATAGTCTGCACTTCGAACAGAATACCAGGGACTCAAGTTGCCCCAGTACTTTGTGATGTCAAAGTTTGGCGACTGTGAACCACTGCCATGCGGCTGAGGCTTGATGAGTGGGTACGAAGACGCATCGCCATCATTGTAGGGATATGACGGCGCTGTCTGAATGGCATTAGGCTCGGCTCCTGTTGGTGTTGCTGACGGAGATCCAGATTAGTCTGGAACAAAACATCCAGGAGGGTACGCGACTCACGTCCAGGGAAGCCGACTACAGACTCGGGCGGGAAGAGTTGAGAGTTGACCTCGGCTACGCAACCAAGCCATCAGCACTCCGCTTTCTGCGCAATTCCATCCAAACTTACTGCCGGCAGGAGGATACACATCCGCACTGCTTGCACCTGCATTTTCAGCAGCGGATATGGTGGTCGTCGGCGCAGCTCTAGCGCTTGCAATGAGTGCAAGCAGTGCACCCTTGTGGGCGGTGTTTATCGCGAATTGCATCTTAGTGTTCGCAGCAATGCCCAAAGAAGTATACCAAGAAGACCAAGCAATGATAAGCCTTGATGCCCAGCAATGTGGGAGCGCCAGAGGCCCATTTTATATTCTCAAGGTCTTGCACCCGCGGGGAACTGCGTTAGACTTCTGCATATCGCTACCGAGGAAATACACGCGGCTCATAACAAGCGTCGCGTGGCCAATGGGATCCGGGCTTGTGAACACATGCGTCGCCCAATACTTCGGCAGCAAGGATGTCACCGCTTCGATGACAGCGCTGACGTCTACGGGACCCGGAAACCAGGGCGTACAGGTACCAGATGTGGTAAGTACAGGTTCATCTGGGAAAGCTGTGCAGCTCGTGATTGCTGGTCTGCAACGGACTACCCCCCGATCGACAAGGGTCTATCTCTGTGCCGTACGCCGGCGTTCCTAGTACCTGGAAGCAATGAGCATTCCACAAGCAGACCACGTTGGCAGGTTAGGTTCCGTCGCCAATAGCCTTCAGCAGCAAAGTACCAGGGCAGAAAGATTGAGGTGCAAGCATGCGAGAAGAAGTCACTCTAATCGATTGCCGCGAACGTCAGACAATACACTCAATTCGTCACGACACGCAAGTCATTATACTTTGTTCTCTCGTTAACAAGAGACGTTGGTATCGTCATTACATATCCATAAACTATTTATACACACACGACCTTCAGGTATCCTTCCCTATTAGACCTGAGAGACCGCGAAACGCCAGTGTCAGTGCGAATGCAACGCAGAGATGCAGCAGATTAGCACTGTCTAGAATGACTGATGTGAAGACCCCAGCAACGACCCGCAACCACCATATCGTCAGTCATTAGTATGTGACCCACAAACGCCGATTTCAAACTTGCGAACCCGACCATAACTCAGAATCCAACGCGAGAGCAGCAAGGCAAAAGGAACATGCAAAAAAAAGAAACACTCACGCCAACGTCTGTCCAACCAGACGAGAAAGATTATGCGATAGGCCACCGAGTGCGCAGGCCTTGTGTCCATTGCCCATAAAGAATGTCAGCTAGCAACCCTTGTTGCTCCATACCAGGCTCGACATAGCCAGGTAGCTTCTTCTCATCGAAATAACCGTGACCGTCGGCACCGAAGCCCTTCTCGCCAACTACAAATGCGCTTTGACGGCGCTTATGTGACTTTAGGTGAGGGTTGTTCTTCGCCATCACCAGCTTAGGCCCCTTCAACGGAGAGCCTGAATTGGCGATGGGTGTGTTGTTCCGCGTCGGTGTTGATATCGGTGTGTGGTCGTACTCTTCCGAAGATTTACTGACGGTTGAAGTGGCCGCACTTGTAGTACTAGACCGGATACGTGTTGTGCCAGTGCCATGGACAGTTGTGCCGCCCAAACTAGTGTCACTAGTCTTGGTGTTGTGCTTCAACGGTGATTGCACAGCTGAGACTTCGATGCCGAGAGCGTACGCAAGCTTGGTGTCATTCTTGAGACGGTCGACCATGGCTTTCAATAGCATGAACTCCCCGTGGGGATCGACCTCGTCAAGATGCTGCCAGGCTTGCGCAACACGTCCGATAGCGTCCCGTTGATGAGGCGATGCTGTATCGGCATGTGCCTCCTGGAAAACCGAATCTAGGACCTTGCTGTACGCTCGGCGACCGTATAGAGCATCCTTCGTGATAGGCATATGACCATCGGGAGCAGGCGGTTCGTTCTCGTTGTTCATATCCAGTGGATGATTAGATGTCGGAGGTGATGGACGGAAGGTTCGTGCTTCGGGATTTGGTTGGAAAGACTGATTGTTCTGAGCTACTGGTGGAGGATTTGAGCGGAGTGCTGCACGGCGCTCGTCCGAGGAGACACGTTTGAAATGCCGTACAGTCGAGGGCGAGTTTCCGAATGTCATGTCAACGCCTAGGGGCGACTTGTTGAAGTTGCTGACGCGACGAGCGGTGGGCGTATCGCCTGAAGGAACACGGAAAGCCGTGGCTTGGGAAGATCGTCGAGAAGACGGCCGTCGGCGTGCTGGAAGTGGTGAATCAGTAATGTCGCCCAAAGGTGCTGCATTGAGATCCATTCGTTGCATCACACTCTCAACCTCTTCATTACCAGAGGAGGGTATACGGGCCAGTTTGCGACGTTGTTTCATAGTTTGCCGTGCCTGAACAGTACCCCGCTTAACAGTGTCGAAGTCCCAATCGTCTTCCTCAGCTCTAGGGGAAAGATCAACCATGGTCTCTTCGTAGTACTTGGGGTGCGATGCCGCTTGCTGTTCCCTTTGGGCGTCGAACATCTGCTTGCGCTCGACCAGCTCACGCAGTGCCTCCACCTTGCCCGCACGCTGGACAAATCGATGTTTGAGGAGCTCCTTGGCGGTCGCACGTCGGTCCGGGTCCTTGATGAGGCATTGGGCAATGAAGTCTTTGAAGTCTTTGCTCCACTCGTCGCCCTCTAGTCTTGGTGCTGGGTTCTTCGGGATAGTAAAGAGCACCTTCATGGGATGTGATCCAGCATGTGGTGGTGCGCCCTCTGCCAACTCCATAGCGGTGATACCGAGTGACCAGATATCGGCCCTGAAATCATAGCCAGCCTCTTGGATAACCTCTGGTGCCATCCAGAACGGTGTGCCGACAAACGTCATGCGTTGCGATTTGATGTTTGTGAGTTGTGCGGCGACACCGAAGTCAGCGAGCTTGACTTTGCCCTGGTCTGTGAGTAGTACGTTGGCGGCCTTGATGTCCCGATGAATCTTGCCGGTGGAATGTAGGTAGTCTAGTCCAAGCAGGAGTTCTCGGCAAGTGATGGCGATGTGGGCTTCGCTGAAAGTTCCTGGTGCCAACTGCAACTGTTAGTTCGTGAAGTTCATGTCCATCTGTGAGTCTGCATACCAAGTCTGCGGCCGATCCTCCGCCCAGATATTCCATGACTATCCATAACTTTACGCCCTTGACAAAGCTGGTCTTGTATTCGGTGATGTACGGGCTGTGGCATGTGCTCAACAGTGAAATCTCGGCCTGGATGTCGGCCAGCTCCTCGCTGCTGTCCTCGAGGTCGATGTGCTTGATAGCGACCGTCTCGCCGGTAGTACGGTCAATGGCCTTGAACACCTTTCCAAAGCTCCCACCTGGACATGTCAGTAAACGTGAACCCAATTGGGGGCAATCCACAACGTACTGCCCAGCTCCTCCATGACTTGGTAGTTTTCGGCCATGGCGGGCGATTGTGATATCGCTGAGTGGAAGCGCAATGGCTTGGGAATTTCGGTAGGTGGTCGGCGGTCAGGCGAAGATGGACGAAAGCGTGTTTCAGCGTAGGGCTACTGGGATAGAAATAAGAATTGTTCGTGGTGCTGGGCTGCTCAATGGCGTCGCCGTTGTGGTGTATATCAGAGTATCGCGCAGGGTCCAGCCCTATCATCGCCGAGGCAACGAGAATGATCATCAACAAACGCACAACCCCGCCGCCACCTGGGAATTGGCGAGATTGGTATGACGTCGCCAGGTATCAATGCTGCAGAAGAACAACAGAGACTGAGGATGGATACCCAAGATAGCACACCAGTCTTGGGAGTCATGTCGCTCGGCTTTCAAGCCTTACAAACCAGTTTGCCGTCCCCATAGCTGGAGCATTCCAATTCCATCGCTCACCAAAGTTGCCCTGCATAAGATCCACACTGCGGGTAACATGCAGCAGCGGATACTACAGTCATCAGTCGAATCACCAATTGGATCTATCGTCGTTGTGGTGGCGCATCACCTGCGCCTGCTCTTCCCGCCGGGGTTTACTTTTGCGGTTGCTGAGGGAAACACGAGCTAACGGCATCGTGCTACAAGGCACTCCAGGCATTCCCAAACCTACCATCCCACTCACCGCTAGGCTCAACTGCGGAAAGCCCTAATAGCGTGAAACAGGCCGTTCGGACAACGCACTCGTACCCGTTGCGGTAATTTGGGGAGAAGGCCGTGGATGGACTTCCATGTTGACCGACTGTCAAAGCGAAGCGCACCATGTTTTCCGCTTCTGTTCCCCTCAGCAACCGTAGATTCAATGCTTAGTATGAGATGACCACGAACCCGCCTTTGACCGGAACACCCAAGGCGCGTCCCCAGCTAGCTCTGAAGTTGTTGCTACATGGATCATCTTTTGAGGTGTCAACTTGCGTGGCCTGACCCCCTCATTTCCGCAACATCGCGCGTCGTCTCGGAAAATATGGGACTCAGCATCCACGAACGTGTTTGACAGCAGCAACCTGCACGTGTGGTGACAGGTGCCTTGAAGTACTTGAATGAGTAACGAAAGGGCGATGGTAAAAAGACAGGGCAAACGTCAACCTCAGCAGACGGATGTTCGTTCACCGTCTCCACACATCCTCTCCGTAACCAAACTAGCCGCGCAAGCAGTCCCTTGGAACATGCAGCCAGGAGATGGGTTCCTGAATTGGGTTGTTGATGGCCTGAGCACTGTGCGCGTGAGCGACCTGCTGCACAAAGACTACGGGTTCGGCTGCAGGAATCTCTAGATACTCGTTACTGCTTTGAACTGTGGCATGCTTTCTTCAATGTCTTTGGTATGAGTTCTTGCGCCACTGGCCCAACGCTCTTCAGGTCTTGGTTCTCGTGGTTTAGAGGGTCTCTCCTCCTCCGATTGGTCGGCCTACCCACAGCGCTTCTAGCCCTTTATCTCGAAGTCTACGGCAGCTCCCCAGCCGCCGCCTCGCTTATTCTTCACCGACTCGCTCGCCGCGCTCGTCTCTCAACCATTCTCTGTGCTCTCAAGGAGGGACAGTATACGAGCAATTCCATCTTCTACCTTGGAGGAGCAGACTCCATGGACAGAGCACAGACACCGACAACCCTGCATGACAAAGGGGCGGACCCGTCATCCCAGTCGACATTAATATCTCCCGACGCCCCCAACTCGAACACTTCTTTTCAACCCTCACCAACCAAGACGATGCCGTCGCATTCTCGATCCAAGACGGTCGACATCGTTGGCCAAGGCAAACGCCTATCGCTGCAGTTCCCTATTCAGCCAAGCGCAAGCATCAGTTCCCCGACTTCGTCGACACGATCGCGCCCGCAATCATGGATGAATGGAGCAACGTCTGTGCATTCACCAGAGCCTGAGGATGCCACCTCCGAGACAAACATCATGGCGGTTCTTGCTGCTCAAGAGCGCTATGTGCTCGAACTGAAGGAAGAGCTGACAAAAGCCGAGGCGGATTTGAACATGCTCAAGACACATTGGGCCCATCACGAAGCTAACAAGCGTCGCAACGAGGTGCGCAAGGTTGCTGCGCTGCAACCACTGGACACGTCGCTTGCCAATACTCCAGCGGGCCAATATGAGGACGACGGTTCAAACCTGTGGATGCAGAAAGAGATGGAGCGTAGAAGGGCCCTGCTGAACCCCACCAAGACGTCTCAAAGAAAGGTCTTTAGCGGTTCGCGACATCTACGAACGCTATCCCTGCTTTCCCCCGATCGTCTCCAGTCGCCGTCATTCCCCCAGCCACTCGATTTACAGGATGACCACTCTGCCGACTCTCGACCACAGCTCCCTACGAGGGCTTCCACTTCGTCAGATATCACACGACAAGTTGTCAACGCTGGTGAACACGACCGGTATGACATGGGTGGCATGCCAACGATACAGTGTGAACAGCTCATCCGCGCCGGCACACAGATGGCGGCAGACTTCAAGAAGGGGCTGTTTACATTTATGGAGGATATCCGACAAGCAACTGTGGGCGATGAGGCTGTCAACACGGCAGAAGGTAACCCCGGCATGACAAGTGTCAAGAGCCTTTCAAAGTCTGGCCGAAAATCGTCCGACGGTCGCCCAGCCCTTAGTCGGTCCGCCAGCTCGAAGAAAAACACCCAACAGCTAGGATCCATCGGCGACGACTTCTGGAAGGAGATGGGTCTAAGCGAGCCCAAGACCACTGCGGTCAACAAGAAGACGCACGCTCTCAAGAACACAACTACCCCGCAAAAACAGATTCGCAAGGTTGCATCAGAAGAGGATTGGGACAACTGGGACACACCAAACGAGTCACTCCTCGTCGATTTGGGAGACTCCAAGGACAGCTCAGACGAATCGGATGCGCAGACATCGCCGGTTTCTGGTCCAGGTAGCTCGCGAACAAGTACCAGCACCAGGTACCACTCGAGGCGTCACGACTCCAAAGCATCATCGCTTACCTCGATTACCCAAGAAGACATGACTCCTCGAGACCAGAAGCGCAGCTCCATTCCTTGGCCTGATATGACCAAAGTGTCGCCGAGCAACTTGAAGCGTACCGCATCGCATCTGATGAGGGAATGGGAGAAGCAACTCACGCCACCTCCGGAGTCGAGGACTGAGGACTACTCGCACGGCGATTTTATGAACTGAACGTTTGATACGGTAGTTGCTTTTAGCGATTTAGCATTATGACGCAACGCCATTAACAGCATTGTCTAATTCAGTATTGCAGAACTTGTTGAAGAGGTGGCTTGAAGTGTGGAAAAGTTCTAGAGATAGCATGGCGTCGGCGTAATGGCATATTCTTGGACCTAGCTTCGGGTAGACATGTACCGTCGTTAGAAGCATAATGAGAAACCGAATACTCTTTACCGCATCCAGCAAGCAACTTGATTAGATTGTACGTGATTGTGCTCGAGCGGGTGCCAAGCCCCACATGTGCGGCATGTTCCGTCCTCCGCTCCAACTCCGCAAAAGTTCCAGGCAGCGGCGGCGCATCGCACCGCCTTCGCAACAGCATTGCTCCTGTGCCACATCCGCTTTCCAACGCAGTGGTGATCAACTATCTCCAACATGTCTTTTCCAGGAGGAATAGGAGGGGTTGGCGCATTGCCAGCCGCCATGAACCCTAATGCTGGCATGAGCGAGCAGGAGCAGCAGATGGTGAAAGCCATGCAAATGGGCATGGAGTCTTGCATTGGCAAGACGGTAATGGCAGGCGTCATGGGTGGTGGTTTGGGTGCTATGTTTGGACTCTTTATGGCCTCGGTATGTATTGGAACGATTGCATTAGAGCAGACATGACTGACATGGCCAGATGCGATACGATACCCCAATGTCACAACCCCTCGCTGTCAATACACCGGCTTCTAAGCCTGCCACCGCAGTCTCCGGCACAACACCAACAGCAGGCGTCAAGCCATCAACCATAGCTACAAGCAACGTCAACTCCGCTTCCGCAGCTACCCTCACCACAGCGCCCTCTGCGTCCGCCACCGCTACCCTCCCAAATCCAACCGTTACCGGAGTCGTCGATGTCAAAGACCTTCCACTCCGCCAGCAACTACGAGCTGGTCTGCGCGACATGTATCGATCCTCTATTTCCAGTGGACGCAACTTCGCTAAAGTGGGCGCCATATTTTCAGGCACTGAATGCGCCATCGAGGGCCTACGAGCCAAGAACGACTTGTACAACGGAGTGGCTGGGGGCTGTTTGACAGGTGGAATACTAGCCAGAAATGCCGGGCCACAGGCTGTGGCTGTGGGATGTGCAGGTTTCGCAGTCTTTAGTGCGGCGATTGATGCGTACATGCGTATGCCAGAAGACGAGAGGAGCAAACCTATCGCTTAAGTCTTCGCCTTGAAACGAATCTCGAGCATCACGACAAAGAGCTAGGACGGCGTTGATGTAATTCATGTATGTGTACTGTATACCACAAGCGACGTGAGGATGGGCTCGCAACTTCAGCATTGGGCGGCGTTTGAATGAAACATTTCATGAACATCTCACAACTTTTACTGAGGGCGAGTCAGAATTACCACGTAGCAATCGAGGCCATGACTACAGATGTATAGTGCATGCAGATTGACTTGATAGTCAATCGACAGTCGTAGTTGGCTCCCGCAGCGTTCCCGTTGCTGTCTCTGGTGGAACCAGCCAATCAAAATTCGCGAGGGGTTTCACGACAAAAAAGTTGCGCCCCACCGCCACCAGCGTGAAATCTTCCACCACGCCAGCGGCACGGCCTAGTCACATATTAACGATCAAAAATTCGTACCATATCGTGGCATCAAACTGTCTCGATATCCCGCCCACCTAGGACAAGCAGACGAATTTCCACAACTAGGCTGCGATTGCTGCCCAGATTACAGCATAATGGCGACACCTAGTGCAACTCAGCAGAAACCAATCCACTCGCTCATTCTAGATACTGGTCCCTTGATCAAGAATACCGTCTCGATATCTACAATTATCAACGCTGCCGAGGAACTTTGGACCACCCCTGCCATTCTCTCTGAGATCCGCGATGAAGCGACACGATCACGTGTGCAGACAACGCTGATTCCTTTTCTGAAAATCAGGAACCCTAGTCCAGCAAGCTACGATGCGGTTATTGCGTTCAGTAAAAAGACGGGTGATCATGCAGTTCTGAGTAGACAGGATTTGGGTATCTTAGCTCTGGCTTATGAGGTGCACTGTGAAAGGAACGGTGGAAACTGGGGTTTAAGAGAGGTACCGAAGGGAGAAATCAAGAGAAGGCCCGAGGAAATCGAAAGGGAGAACGAGGAAAAGGCGCAAAGAGAGGGCTCTTCAAGTTCCACAAAGAAGCGCAAGAATAGGCGAAGGGCGGGCAAATTAGCCAGCAATGCTGCCGAAGATGCAGCTGAAGAAGCGACAGAGGGCGGCCAGATTGACGCCGAATCTGCCGAGCCAGAGGCGGAAGATGAGGGTTGGGAACAGCCTACAGGCAAGCGGGCAGCGAAGGCCAGAGCGCCCAAGTCCACCAAATTCAACTTCAAGCCTGCCGAGGAGGTCGAAAACAACCCAGAACAGGCAAACCGATCGGAAGAGCAACCCGAATCAGTCGAGATAGACGAAGAAGACGGCGGTGTAAAAGTTACCCAAGAGCAGGTTGAGGAACAGATACATGAGCAGGTCGTTGCACAGGTTCAAGACCAAGTCCACGAACAAGTGCAAGACCAAGTTCAAGAGCAGCTCGACAAGCAGGTTCAGGGGGAGCTCGATCCTCATGCTGTAGAGCAAGTTGAGGAGAAACTCGAAGAGCAGGTCCAAGAACAAATTCAGGAGCAACTTCGAGAACAGGCTGGTGACCAAGGGCCGATCGAACAGTCAGCGACAGTCGAGGTACCCACCACCAACATCCACATCGAACAGGAAGCAGAGCTTTCACTCGCTTCTGAGCAACCTGGGAATGAGCAGCAGTCAGGCCAAGAGGTCAGCCCAGATGAGCCAAACCTTGAGCGAGACATGGAGGATCTCTCGATCTCTCATGGTGCTACTCAACAACCCACGCCCCCAACAACCGATGACTCTGCTGCGGACTCAGATTCAGATGGTGACTGGATAACCCCTCAGAATCTCACCGAGCACCAAGCCAAAGACGGTGTCATGCAGCCCCAGATCCACATAGCCGCCAATCGCCAACTGGATGTAGCAACCATGACTATCGATTTTGCGATGCAAAACGTGCTACTCCAGATGAATCTCCAACTCCTCTCAACAAACATGCAGCGGATCAAAAACGTCAACACAAAGGTGCTCCGCTGCCACGCATGCTTCAACATCGTAAAGCAAATGGACAAGCAATTCTGTCCCCGCTGCGGTCAAGCAACCCTGCAGCGTGTGACCTGCTCCACAAACGCGGCCGGAGAGTTTAAGATCCACCTGGCCAAGAACTACCAATACAACAAGCGAGGCGACAAATACAGTATCCCTAAGCCCATTGCTGGTACTGCGAACACCAAGTGGAGTCATGGTCAGGGCGGAGGCAAGGGTGGCTGGGGCAGGGATCTTATCCTGGTGGAGGACCAGAAGGAATACACAAGGCGTACAGAGGAAGATAAGCGGACTAGAACAAGGGATCTCATGGACGAGAACTATCTGCCGGGCATCTTGACAGGTGATCGGAGTAGGGCTGGTGGCAGAGTCAAGGTGGGTGCGGGCAAGAACGTCAATTCAAAGAAGAGGGCTTAGACCGCTGATGTGAGCGGCCTGAAGCGAAGGTAGCTGAGGGTGTATAGGCACTGGCATAAGTGGATTTGGACGATTTGAGGTGGTGCATGGGAGGATCGGGTTGTCCAGTTCTTTGGGATTGGGGGCGCAATGGAATATGGCGAATGGTGTTGGGCCTCGATTGATGGATCGCCGGAATTCATGTCTCAGATAGACGAATGATATGCTAAAGGTTCATATTTACTACTTCCACATGCCGCACCTGTTTTCCTTGATCCCGTTCAACTGTAGATCAACCCGCGTCTAATCACCTGACGAGAGAATCACTCACCAAACTTGCTTGATCCTTCTCCTCTTCACCGCAACTCTGTATGTTCCGAGCATGTTGAAAGATATCACGGTGCATGCATCTACATGTCGCCATCCAACGAGTCATATCCTAACTTTATACTAGCCTATCTCCTTAGTTGCAAGTCCACATTCCTGCCCCTGTAACCATGCCACTTAATAAATTTCCGTAAAACATCAGTGGAGGTAAGATATCTTGCCGATCCTTGGTCTTCTATGTAAGGGTTGAATCTCTACGCACGGGCGTTTGTATGTTGGTATCGATTGAGCAAGTTCTACGCATCATGTCAGTTTTTGCAGTAGTCTGCGAACCGTTCAACTGATCGCGCGGCTCGAAACGTGGCTCCTTTCAGGCGCGAGCATGTGCTGCAAGCTGCAAAGCAGATTTTCCAACTCGACATTATACACCTATAGTCCAAGCTTGACCCTTTTCGACTGTTCCGGGTGGTAGGTCGTAGGCCATCAGGTTGTGGCTCAATCAGTTCCAATGGAAGGATGCCTGTAGGGCCTGGTATCGGTGTTGTGGAAAACGATGGTACTGTATGGTATCCCGGCTTGCATGGCCGGAGTTGCTCAAAAGTGGCTCAGCAGCGACAAAGTGGCGTAAACCCACTCAGCTCCTTATGATCTCGCAAAGGTCACATGCATTGGTTTGGTGTAGAATCAGCTCGTAGTCAGCGATGATATTCCCATGATGGCTGTGATATGTTTCCAGACCCAACCTCAAGCTGATGGCGGCATACGAGTTCAGGCGACCGGTATATATCTCGTTAGACCAGTAGTATGTCGTCATCCGGAGGTGCACGCTTTCGTGTTTCCCAACCGTAGAAACGTGGCGTATAGTGACAGCCGAATTCGTGCGACACATAACCCTTACATAGCACTCACGTGGACTGCGCCCGAACGCCTCGCTTACGTCAAATGCATCCAGCTAGAGATATCATGATTGGCTCTGGATAACCCTGGCAATGCAACTGCGGCTCGGTCTTCGAGGCAATGGACGTATGTTGGCAGTGCGGTGTGAAAGGGCGCGTCAAGTGGATGATGGGGCGCCTCGAGATCCTGAACGTAGAAGAACTACGATACCGAGAGGCCGATCACGTGGATAGCATGGTCCAGAAACCTAAAAGGAGCTTCGTGCTCTCCATCGCATCGTAAAAGCCGTAATTAACTTGATTGTGCTGTCTGGAGTATACCGTGGTAGTCTCTTGTTGTTGCCATGACGATTCTTAGTATCCTCAGCTCTTGGACGTCGCTTCCTATATCATATCTGAGAACTGTATGTTTTCTTGTATCGTTCCTCCTTGTTATCTCTGTGAACATAGTACTTACCTTATCCCAGCTATCTAGACCTCTATACGCCCCTGAACGGACCGAGAGCCCTAGACAGCTCGTCCCCTCCGCGACCAAGAATGGATCGTCGAAGCCTTGCGACCACCGTACAGAGATCATTGCTCGTCTCCGTGGCCAAGAAATTTACGTTCCGGATGTGTATTACATATATACCGATTGGCTTTCCAAAGTGCATCCTGATGTCCAAGTGTTGAGAGATCATCTAGAAGGATACTTCCAAGAGTTCATCAGCACGGAGAGCCAAAGAAGGAAACAACGCAGAGTAGACAACGGCCTTTGCGTGGGATACTTCTGGACCCATGTTGAGCCAGAGAAGTTCATCGTACTAGGAGAACTTGTAGCTTGGGTAGATTTGTTCCATCATTCCGATAGTTCTTTGCTAATATGAAGCGGTAGTTCTTTTTCTGGGATGATGAAATTGATTGCGGCATTCTCACCGACGACCGCGACAAGACGGAAGCGTACTGTAACGATACACTCAACTTCATCCGATATTGTTTGCAACCAGAACTCGATGGCGAAGTTCCAGCGCCAGGGCGATTGCACAACTGCGGGCCATGGGTCAATATGGGAAAAGCGATGCAGGAAGGGCAATCGAAGGGTACGACCAATTAACATCTGTATCATGTGCATCAGCTAATAGATGTCGCAGAAGCACGCGACCGATTCGCCGAAGCCATTTACGACTTTATTCTTGGCGTTCAAACATCTCAGGCTACATGGGAACAGGTAGGAGTCATTCCTCGACGAAGTGAATGTGAGGCCTGAACTGATTCCCTATGTGCACTTTTTAGGGGATGTCCACCCTAGAGGAATACACGGCGCGTCGCCTAAGAACGGTCGGGACCAACCCTTGCATCGCTGTTATGCAATGGGCCTACAGCCTTACACTGCCTCCATCGGTATGGGACCACGAGGCTTTGTTAGCCATACAACGCGAGGTAGCCATTTCGGACTTCCTCTGGAACGACATCGTAAGCTTACGGAAGGAAACCGATGATGGCGACATTGATTCTGCAATCCCAGTCATGGTCTGGAATGATGGATGCAGTGCACAAGTCGCCGTCGATCGATGTGTGAGGATGGTGGAAGAGAGCTGGGCGAGACTGTTGGACGGAGAGAGGCGACTGCTCAAGGCACATGCTCAGGAGTCTGAGCAGATTAAGCGCGATATCGAGACGCTTGTCGGCGGATGTAAAGATGTATTGGTCGGACATATGGTTTATTCGTGAGTTTCCTGCGATTTGCATAAAGGAGCGTGCTGACGTTATACTAGACTTAAGATTCCGCGTAATATGTCGGCAGCAAGGATGAGCGAGATGGACTGCAGTTTCCGCGTCGTGTTATAGAGTCTGGTTACTGAAGACGTTGTATCGGGCAGGCTGTCTGGTGAGGCATCGCGCTGTGAACAGGAACGACACGATCGATTAAAGTGGAGAGGCTTTCATGGGCGTTCCGTAGTCTATCTACTATTTTTCGTTCCACCCAAAGAGCTTACGGCGCCGTGTATTCGTGATCGAGACAGATTGAATCCTGCCCCAGCCGGAAAGAACAATGATCTGATTCATGACACTCACTGCCAGCGCGAGCTCTTTGACTGCGCTCGGCTTTGAAGCAGCGATACGAGGTTCCACGCTTTGTGAGAGCTATGGCCACTATTGACAGACCAAGAGGCACGAGGGCGTTCGCGTGCTTGTCCTCGACCGCGGCGCTAAGAAGCGCTGGAACTATGCTCTGTTTGGGGGTATGGATGTTTGGAGTACGAATTTCTGGAGTGGAGTGGAGCATCGTGTGTCGTCGTGCGGACCGTTTTCAGGCAAACAATGGGCATGATGCCGGTGAGCCGTGATTGGTCGGATCGCGAGGTCTACATCTTCGACGAGGAGAGAACGTGCCTTTGTCTTAGCTTCCGCAGCCGGTATCAGATCTCAACCCGATTTTAGATTGGACCTCATGCGTTGTTCAGACCCCAACTTCATACTCCTGCCAATGTCTATGAGCAAGCGCAACGCTCCTCTTGATGACTACACTCATAAGCAAGCGTCGTGCTTGACTCGACTGAAGCGCTTCTTCGATGCCCACGCCGCTTACCGACATGCTCCGAAAGCCTGTCCGCCCCCTTTCAACTCGTATACGCTTGTACGCCGGAGTACGGGTGCGCCCACATATGATACCGGGGTCATGCGATGATCGCGATATTGACGGACGACTTCTCGGAGCTGAGCTGTTCAAAGGGCGCCCGATTCGAGAGTCGCCGGAGCTGGTAGCTGGGCTGGAAGCGCGTGGATAATAGATGTCTCGCACCAATGCCCGGTTGGTCCAAGTCCCCGACGATAGTCACCTACCATCGGATGCTGGGAAGCGACATAAGGCTCCTGGATCCCGACCCTCGGGATGAAACCGTCCTGGGCGTGATCTCTCCCGAGCTCAGTCGGCCTTCATCTCGTATTGCACCAGTCTCTTCATCCAAAGTGTTCACAGCGGGACACGTAAGACTGTAGCCGTTGTCGTCCCGCCAGCACTGTCTTGGCATGTAGCTCCAAGCTTGCGCCTATGGCGCCAATAGCGCGTCTTTCCAGATCCTTTTGTCATGATCTAGATCTAGCTCTTGCGACTGGTCTCTGATAGCGGCCTTTGGTTCCTGACCAATCGTGAAAAGTCCTTGGGCTCTCGAGGTCTGAAGGCCTTGTCTGAACTAAAGGTATCTCCGATATTGCTTCCCAGCCGCTGAGCATATCGCTACGGACAAGCTCAGCCGTCGCCTACAAGCAGCATATATCCCCGGACGCACGATCTGCTTGGCTGTGCTGTGCTCATCTTGGCTTGCCCACTGGGTAGCTCCTCGATACTGATTTACGTCGTTGCAGGAACAGTTCCAGGCTACGGTGAGCGTTTCTTTGCTTTGGTAGGGATTCCGTAGTGACTTGTTCTGGATAGAAGCATAAGCATCCAAGGTGACGAGACCACACATACCGAGTGCACGATACAATTTGCCCCTTGCCCGGCGACGGCTGGGTGCTGACTGTTCAGGCGCTCGAGATCTCGGTGCGGGGTTATACTATGAGTGTGCCTTATCTGACCGGCTTCTAGATTCGAAGGGGGCCGCGTGTGCGGCAGTGGGGGATCGATTTGATGGAAAGCGTTCCGTTCGGTGCGAGTACTGGAGGCAACGTGCCCTTCGATTGGGGGCATTGAGCCGTCAAGGTGTGTGCGCATGACTTGCGACTTCACCCAGCGTGCCGCTATATGTCGACCGGTGAGTTCCTGCTCGCAATCTCGCCTGTTTGCGTCGCTGTTGAGCGTGTTATGTCAAATGACAAGGATTGCCGTCCGGTGAAGAAAGGTCTACGATGCACGTCGCAGGAATCTGCTTTGCCTTGCCGCCGTTTAGGTAAGGGTACATCACCGCTGCAGCCGGTTGCTCCATTAGTTCAGCGAACTCGCCAATCGAAAGTCTGCAGAACAGTGTGGAAGAAAGGAAAGAAGGCAAACTTGCAGGTGGCCCTTTAGGTGGCCTTGACGCCGCACGCCTTAGTATGTCAGCCGTGTCCTATGGGTGTCTACTTAAATCTGGCATACCCTTCCTCTCTGGAACTCAAGAAGTCGCAAGATTCACCATATTTCGAAAGAGATTGGAGTCAACTTACAAATACCGCTTCGCAAAGCCGCCGAACGGGCATAAACGATTGGATACGCTTGCCGTTGGTCAACATAATAAGCGCCCATGGAGAAACACAGTGCCCGGACGCCTGCTTATAACCCCTCTTTCTCGCAGAGCCGCATCTCTACAATTGTCGCCTCGACACACATGCATATCTTATCATGGCAATGGTCTGGCCATACAAGAAGAGCAAGGGCAGGCATCACCATTTCTTTACCATTCACAAGCTTGATCAACGGAAAAAGAACGGTGTCTCGATGTCTCCTACAGCATATCACTAATCGGTTACCAAACAAAACACATGCGACCGCAATACATTTTGGGTGGTAACTCTACACAACATTGACACGGTCTTTGCATTGCAGCCATGACATCGACCTGGTCTAAGACTTAGGCAAGCTTCCTGCTCAAACGGTTCGCTAGGTCGCCTTTTGATTGTCTGGCAATAAGTGCCGTGGCGGCAGACGGCACACATACAGGGCGCTTCGCTAGAAGGGATCCACCCTTGATCTCTCTTAGGTTGGCGCTGTGCGACTCCATCCTGTTGGTTCGTCGGTTGGCACCGGCTGTTATGCTGCAGGCGATGGGACATGTTGAGCGCCATCCACGGCCGGTTGGCACCGATGCTTTTTGCTGAGATGCAGCTGACAAAGTTAACAGCTGTCGAGACCCGAGGTTTCCACAATGCTGCCATAGTACAACATGGTCCCGACGTATTATCATCTTCAAGAAGCAACGAGTCTTGATACATAGTCGGCAGAAGTCGCTCGTCCATACCGTCCCTCCGGTGACCCGAGACAGCTATACATCAACACTGATCAGCGGCGAGTAGATGAAACTGCCCACAGCGGGGTAGGGAATACTGGGCTGATAACCTATGGCCTACGTATACGCTTGCTGTAGCCGATGCAGGATCCTGCGCCATGCCTGTTCGAGAGCATCTCTAGCTTATCAGAGGCTGCTCCGAAACTGTTCGACAAGCCCCATCCCGCACTGTTGTCATTTAGGAGCTCGTCGTCTGACCTCTGTGACTGGGATGAGTCGTCTTGCAAGCAGTAGATCGCAGAGCCGCATGGCGAAGAGAAGGATAAAGGCGTGTCAAAGTGAGGAGACCACAGCGGGTTGGAGTAGAGCAGACGCATCCGAAACAAAGCCAAACACACCACACCGTTCATATAGGGTACACTGCACGGAGACGCACGAAGACGCACGATGGCGGGCAATTCTCCCAACTCAGTGGTAAGTTGCATTGGCTCAAACACGTGACGTTTGCTAAACCATCTTTCCAGCCACCATTCATCTTTCAGGTTGACGAGATCTTCGAGAATCTGGGGGATGCTCCTGACCAGCTGGATCGTCATGGCATATGGCAACCTACTACAGCCCCTAATGCGAGTCATGACTATACTCCCGGGGTGGGTGCCTCGGGCAAGACCTGGCTCTGCGATGGCTTGCAGATACGCGAAGTCATGTTCCCAACGACTGCCCAATGGTACAAGACGTACTCGGTTTATTACGCATCTGGAGCCGGATTTTGGGTCCTGAAAGGAGATGCACGCAATCCACCAGGTGACGATGTTTTCCACAAATTGCAGTTCAACTATTACCAGCACCCTCCCGAATCGTCTTATCTGACTTCTTCCGGTCAATACAACATGCTCCGTGTGCAACCCCAGGATCCATGGGCGAATCTGCTCCTGCCTGACATATACCACACTAGTGCTGCTCCCTCAAGCCCACAGTACGGTGGACTTGTAGGCGAGTTACCAATTTTTCTAGCTCTGATGGCCTTTACGACCTCTCGAGAATACCTCCCCTCTGTTCTGCCCCATCTGTTCACTAGAGGGAACTGGGTACCCTCGCACACCTGGCAGTTCAAGAGTATGTCACCTGACTTTTGAACACACGCATTCTCATACTGACTATTACAGGAACTGAAAAGCGTGGTGTAGTCGTCAAAGTGTACAACTGTCCAGCAGGTTCTTATCCGCAGAGACCCACAGGCTCCACGTTCACTGATTTATACAACTATGAGATCGGTCAAACTGTCAAGTACTTCCACTGAAGACTATGCTGGTATCTCGGATGGGGACGACGTCGTCTGTGCTAGGACCGGTGACTGCACTTCGTCTTGTCGGTTCTACAGCATTACCGGTAACCGATTCAACTCTCACTTGCAACGCCTCGCTCCGATGGTTCAGACATACGTCACACCAATTGTAGAGATCATACTTTGGTAAACTATCCTGGCCTGTCGGTTTCACGCGATTCTTGATTAGTCGGATTCTTCCTTTCCTTTCCGCGTCTTTTGTACTTGGTCTCTCCTGGTAGGTACCTCAATTATTTTGGCTCTGCCATCTGTTATTTTCTTTCACAAACTGCAAACTACCATTACGTCAGTTATGAACCAAGCTAGCTATCAAACGTTTTCTGAATACAACATCATTAGTCCGATTCTAAGCACACATTTCTGATGAGCACAGTGAATGCCCCAGCTGTTATCGACTTGACCGTATTCTGATACATTCATAAGCCGACGCATGATTTGAAAAATCAATCTTTATGGGTATCACAAACGGCCGAACACCTTATTTCTGCTCTTCAGCTTCCCATGCCCCAAACAATGACATTGCCATCGCCACCACCACTACACCACTCCCTCCTTGTTTTACAGAAGGCCACAGCAGACACGACGTCCTTGTTTGCTTTTGTTGGTATGACAGGCGCTGCACCTCTTACTTCCCTCATCTCGGAATGCTTAAACTTATACAAACACGTTCCCTCCAACATATCCCACGCAAACACCATGCCGTCGTCACTTCCACTAAGTACTACGCTATCATTCAGGCCTAGCGTGCTCCTGACTCTCAAATGCTTGTTCACGAAGGCGTCGTCCTTGTAGGTTTTGAGTACTTCCCCATTCGTCCGGTCCATGAGCCTCACAGTAGAATCCAGGGATCCGACCAGAACCTCAGTACCCTTTTTACTGACAGCCAAACTCGTGCAACTCGGTCCTATAACATCAACCTGACACATGCCCATTCTGAGATCATAATTCCTGACGCGACCGTCGACGCTCGCAGCCAGAATATCCGCGTCGTGTATCGTAACATCAGAAATACTGTCTTTGGCGTCTGAAAGTGTCATGATGGGCTTGTACGCGTTGGACTTGGTATCCCAGATTCTGACCGTCCCATCGTATGACCCGGTCGCTATGATGCTGTCGCCCTCGCCTCCGAAAACGCCGCGGTTCACACGCCCAGCATGGCCAGTCCAACGGCGCACCGTCTGCGCCGTCTGCACGTCCCAGAGGAAAACTGTTTTGTCGCCGCCTGTGCTCACAAACTTGTCGTTGGCCGAGTTGACGTCAATGCTGAGGACTTCATAGCCGTGCGCGGTATATTTGTTCACGAGACCCGGGGGCGATTGTGAGGACGTGGTAGGAGCGGTTGAGGTAGGCGGCGCTTTCGATGGGTTGTAAAGACGGATGGTACGGTCGGAGGCGCCGGTGAGAATGTAGGTTTGAGAGCCGGAAGAGTAGGCGACGGCATGGACAATGCCGGCGTGGCCAGTCAATCGTGCGATAGGTTTTGTCGGGAAAGACATGTCGATGTGGTCGACACCAGCACACTGGTTACAGTAAGATTAGGGTATCCACGGGCGTCTGCGAATGCGTCTGCGTCGTTGGAGGATAGTCGGTGTATGTGTTAGATGCCGCAGCTATAGAGGACAGGCGCTCAAGGCATGGTGAGGTGAAGCAGATTGGAACAAGGTAAGGAGAGAAGCTGTTGCGCTCTTGCTGGCCGTATCTCTAGCGAGACTCTATGGCGAGACAAAGACGCGCATCGCTATTGCGCAAAAAACCTGCAAACATGTGAAGACGCTGGGAATGGAGACATGCGCAATGCATCCGGTACCTGCCCAGGCCGAGGTGGGGCGATGACGCTCGATTAGCTCCCGCGACTTTTTGGGGCCTTGGTTGATCGCTGCCTATGCACATCTTGTCAACAATCCCCAAGGCTACGCAGTCTATACGTACATCAGTCACTCCTCTCTCTTCCAGGACTTCACACAAGCCATAGCAACGACCTGGAGATAACCGACCATGTCCTTCCAGCAACTCGACAACGCCCCCAAGGCCGACGACTTCACCCCACTATCAGAACACCAATCGCAGACCCCGACGTCCTTTTTCAGCGCAAAGCCCGTTCTCCATGCTCACTATGAGGGCATGACTCTGGTGGCCGCTGCTGACCAGCTAAAGCAAGACGCGGCGTTTAGCAAGTTCAGCTCAAGACGCGAGGGTGAAGAAGACTTTGTAGATGGCATTGACGTCTGGGTGTCCTCTGAGTAGGTATTCCATTTGGCTACCCACAGAAGATGCTAACTCAGAGCTCTAGAAATGTGGTTTTGTTTCAGAGCACGCCCTCTCCTGTCGGCGTTTCGATCCCATATCCTTCTCTCGCCCTCCATGCGACCATGAAGTACAAGACTACGATTGAGGCGCTATACGTGAACATATCACTCAACGACGCCGACACCGTAAATGAGGACGACGATATTCACATGCTCGAGGTCACCCTACTGCCCCCGTCGTACACCTCGAAACCCACCGAGACATGCATTACAGACCTATTCACCGCGCTGAACACCTGCGCAGACCTGCATCCCGACCCAGATGCCAGTGATGACGATGGCGAAGACATACTGGACGACACAGCACCCGGTGCGTCGGGTTGGATAACGGCTGAGAACATGGACGAGTATATGGATGAGAATGGTAACTTCAGTGGCATGGTGATTGGAGAAGAGCTGGGACCTGGTGCCGGAACAGTGAGAGCAAGGGAAGACACCGAGGAAGGCGCCAATGGTTTGAATGGTACAGACGGGCACGAAGGGAAGTACTATCGCACCGGCTGAAGCTGTTTACATGGAGAGAGTGAAGAGACATCACAACGTCAACAATGAACGACAGAATGATACCCCGGGCAAAACTTTCATGTGGCTTTAGTAGCATTGGCTGTGAGTGACCACTTGTCCTACCACCCTTAACACAACCATTCTCACATGAGTTCAGAACAACATCGCCGCAAATACAAGAAATTACGAGTTTTTTACCTCACCATACCCATCTCTAATCGCTTCTCACCCCTCACAGCTTCTTTCGCGTAAACTGGCAAAGGCTCTTGAATTATACCGACTTCTAAGCCCTTCTCTACATCTGCCTTCCATGTTGTCTTACCCCCTCTTTCTTGTCTTTCGACTCCCCACTTTCCAATGATAGTACCAGCTTTTATGTTTCGCCGTAGGCGGCGCTGGTAGAGGAGAGAACTCAACACGATGAGACCGAGAAGACCGATGACGAGCCCGACAATAACGGCGGTGCGAATTGACTCTTTGGTAGGCTCCCGAGAAGGTCGAGGGCGTGTGGACGGCATAGCTATAACAATGCGAGACACGCGCTTCGAGCAGTGGTGGACCGATTACTGCTTGCTCTTGTGTAAGGACGAGACTTCTAAGTACATGCAGACTGCTTTGAAAGATGTACCCCCAGTAAGACGAAACAGAATCTTGCTACACCCAATCAGGAGATATGGTGGACGTGAAGACGCAATCCGAATTCTTATATCTTCTGACTGACCATTTGTCAGTACTCGACCTGTCACTAAACACTACAGATGGAACAAGAACAATAGCTTACAACAACGGTAATTCAACAGATGTGTAGACCATCCATTAGAAGAAACATAAAACGGGTATTGCTAGTAGAATATATAGGAGGCACAAGCTCTGCTCGTCCCATGAATTAGTATACATCTACACCACGCTGATCTCACAACGTAAGGCTGATGCTTGATGTTACACAGCATCCACACCGATCTATGCCCAATCATCTTCTCAGCCAGACCGGTTGGTCTCTTGTCCCACCAATTGCGACAAAACATATGCCAAAACGGCCCCCAAAGGCGCGTTGGCCCAGATGAAGGCTTGACGCAGAAGCTGCATGCGTCGAGTTTCCCCTCTTTTTTGGGTCTGCAGACTGGCCGCTCATCGCCGTTGTTGGTTGGACTCGAGCCTCATCTCTTGGCTCGGATACCGAGATCGGTGAGCGATTGTATCAACAAAGGGACTTGGCATGCTTACTATTGCACACATGGCGAAGGGTGAGGTGTTTACGGCGGTCGAATGGGCATCAACACCGCATGCAGTTGGCTTCTTTTTTATCTTCTTGGCGGGGACGCGGGAAGGCTCGGATAGGGAACTCGCAGTGGAGTGTTTGCAACAGGTGCAGGTTGTTGTACAGCGTCTGCGTAAACTGGTGGCCATCCTGTGGATGTATGTTCGTTCATTCGCGGACGACCTACACCTGACGTACGCCTACGATCCTTCATCGCTTCTTTGTATGTTGGGGGCACATCTTCTACGGGTGATTCTACTGCGTCTCCGCTGCCTCTCGAAGTACTTGCGTGTTCCCCACGTGTCCTTTCAACATAACGTCGCTCAGCTGCAGCTCCCTCTTCTATAGCCTGTTGGCTACGCAACTCGCTCAAGAGTAGCGGTCTTGCCTTTTCACGCTTATGAGACCACGCGGACGGGGGGACACGGCGCAATAGTAGTATGACAACGATGACACCGACTACCACGCCAATGATAACTCCAACACGCTGGCCAATCGGCCATCCATACCATCCGTCTTTCCGACAGTTGTTGAACCTCGATGGGACACAGACATCGATGGAGTTTCGAGCTGGAGCTGGATAAATAGAAGTGGGGAACAACGTATCCCACGTGTCCTGGGTTGATGTAGGTGCAGAATCATAAGTGCTTGTCGAGTAAGGAGGCTCTGCTTCATTGCAGGCAGTCCCGTTTTGTGTGCCATGGGTACAGTACGCGCTGTATCGGTATGGCATCAGCACACCAAAGTCCGATGCGCCGTCTCGTGGTGTGCTAGACAGAGTTGCTATCAGTCAATCAGTCAGTTGTCAGTTCATCTTTGCGGTTCAAACTGTCAGTCTGGAGGTAGTGAACTGACCTGATTGACTGCCAAGACATTTTTTAGAATCGCGAACTGAGACTG